GTTTCAACTTCTTCCTGGTGTAGGCTTGGTAGGATGCAAGTGTCCAGGAATTTATCCATTTCTTCCAGGTTTACTAGTTTATGTGCATAGAGTTGTTTGTAATAATCTCTGATGATGTTTTGAATTTCTGTGGAATCTGTGGTGATATCCCCTTTATCATTTTTTGTTGCATCTATTTGATTATTCCCTCTTTTCTTTTTAATAGAGACAGGGTTTCACCATGTTGGTCAGGCTGGTCTTGAACTCCTGACCTCAGGTGATCCACCTACCTTGGCCTCCCAAAGTGTTGGGATTACAGGTATCAGCCCCTGCGCCTGGCTTCGTTACCAGTCTTGGTTCTTTTTATTTCATGTTCTTGCACTGACTGCATCCTGCAGCTCTCCGTGGCGCGTGAGAGGTGAGAATACGCGTGAGAATACCCTTTCATCATCATAGAATGATACATATGAGTTTTGTCTCAACAATTTTTGTCTTGATTTCCATTTTGTCTGACATTAATATAGCTTTTCAGGCTCTCTTTTCGTTACTGTTTGCATGGAATATATTTTTTTTCCAATTTTGTACTTTCAACCTATTTATGTCTCTGGCTGTAAAGTAAGTCTCTTATACCTTGCATAAAATTGGGCCATTTTTTTTATGTATTGTCCAGCCAGTCTCTGATTTTTTCGAGACAGAGGCTCACTTTGTCGCCCTGGCTAGAGTACAGGGATCTCAGCTCTCTGCAGCCTTGGACTCCCAGGCCAAGCCATCTTCCCGCCTCAGCCTCCCGAGTGGCTAGGACTGGCCGCCACATTCAGCTACTGTTTATTTATGTTTTTTGTAGAAATAGGGTTTTGCCATGTTTCCCAGGCTGGTCTTGAACTCCTCAGCTCAAGCGATCCACCCTTTGTGGCCTCCCAAACTGCTGGGATTACAGGTGTATGCCACCACGCCCAGCCAGATCTCTGACTTTTTATTTTTTTTGTTTTTTTCCCCAGCATATGTTAATCTTTTTATTGAATTAAGGCATTTAACGAATCTCTGACTTTCAGCTGGAGTGTTTAATATATTTATAGTCAGTGTAAATTACTGATAAGGAAGGCCCTCTGTCATTTTGTTTAGGGTTGCC